AAACCCAGCTGTCATAGCTAGATGATTGAATTCATACAAATTAGCCACTAAATCAAAAGGTTACAAATTGATGTGAGACAGTATTGGATGTTGGTAATTTTGAAATGAATGAGAGAATTACAACAGATCAGAAGAACCATGTACATAAAAGCATAGTCAAAAGTAGGACTAGGCTACCATGGAACATATTGTCAACCAAAAAAGATTTTATTCAGTGTATAGCGCAACATGGGCATGACGTTTTACTGTAAATGATTGGAAAATGAAATTAAAACACAAATAAATTCAATTCATATGATAATATGCTTAATCTTGTTTGACAGTTGAGTTGTTGGTTGGTCCTTGCTAATTCAATCATTTCATTCCCTCTCAAAATGACAACCAGTGGACACATTAGATTTTGTTTTAGCCCAAGCAGTCTTTCCCATATCTTTCCCTTAATATCCACAAACCAGCTTCCACATTTGCTGTTTAATTTTGTGTATGGCTAATTTACATAAACCTATGATCTCATTATACAAACCAAGTCCAAGAATTAAGTACAAACATTCAGTAGGCAAAAGCTTACAAAAATACATGGATAAATATACAGACTCAGTTTAACAAAACATGCCTTTAATACAGAACAAAAAGCAACAAGGGGTCCATAAATGATATGTTCCTGATGAACTCGCTTGTAATTATTTCACCTTTTCAGCCACTCTTTCTTTCACAACTGTGCAACCATGGCAACTTGCTTTGAAAAACTGAAAAAGTGCAAGGCTTGGAGCTCCAGGTGGAAGTCAAGGCCAGTGAGAGGACACGGCATTTGAGTCACTCGTATAATTGAGGAAGGCATGAAAACATTTTGCCATGAATATGCATATTTTGCCACAGGCAGTCTAAGCAATATTCAAAATGTCTGTTTGTCAGTCGTCTCCAATTTACATAATGGCACATTATTTCATTCGCAGGATTTTGGACTGACTGAGAGCACAGAGAAATCAATGCCAAAAGCTGTCATCATGATCCACCTTATTCAGTCCCTGCAAAATTTCACAGGAAGTTTTTCTGAAATTTTGCTGCGTAAAATGACTAATTTTGTGATGGCATTTTCTCAAAATTTGCAGCATGTGTTGCTTTGCAGTGAAAAAAATATAAATAAATCTCAAAGTAAAATAAAATAAAAGTAAATTAAACAAAATTAAAATTAAATGAATGAATGAAAATAAAATTGTTAAATTATTGAAAAATAAAATAAAATAAAATGAATAAATTAAAAAATATATATATATGAAAATAAAATAAATGAAAATTAAATATAATAAAATTAAATAATAAAAATTGATTAAATAAAATAAATGAATGAAAAATAAAAATAAAAATAAAATAAAATAAATTGAAAACTAAATAAAATTAAACAAAATAATACAATTTGATTAAATTAAAATGAATGAATAAAAAATAAAATAAAATAAAATAAGATACGATCAAACAAAATAAATGAATGAAAAATAAAATAAAATGAATTAATTAATTGAAAATAAAATAAATGAATGGAAAAAATTAAAATAAAAGTAAACAAATTAAATGAATGAAAACAAAACAAAATAATAACACATTTAAAACCAAATAAAATAAAATAAAATAAATAGACTTGCGCCTATACAAAAAAAAAAAAAAAAACATGCACATGTTAAAAATATCTTCAGTCTATAAATACATCTAAAGTGTACAAATAAAAAATATATATAAATTTAATCCAGGCCCATAAATTCAACTTTTTGAAATAAATTCAAATACATTTAAAACAGGTTCCATTACAATTCTGTGATTTTGCATCATACTGTATATCCCCCCACATAAATCTCAAAATCCTGGAGGCACTGCTTATTTTTCGACCACTGAGTTCACAACAAGACAGATGTGCCTTTTTGCTGACAGCGCATACTAATTCACTAGATTCAGGTCAACTCAAATGGAGAAAGATTAGCGATAATTCCTAATGATGCACACAGAAGCACAGGTCATACAGTGATCAGTGTCGAAAATCAATGGCATGACTAAGCCGCTGCATTTTTATGACTTTTTTAAGGGAATGTAATGGCCGAGGCAAATGTCTGTCTGTCAGTCATTTACAGGAGGTGCAGAGCGAGAGAAGAGAAAGCCTGCTGTCAATAGGCTAATTGTATGCAGCATCACACAGCAATTAGTGTCTCGCACTTCTAAGCATCTCATTCTATTCCCAGACATTCGGCTGTGAACACAAAATCCTCCCTCTTTTTATTAGGAAAGACAGTGTCGCTTGTTCTTTTGTCTTTTTTGTTGACCAGAATAATGAAAACAAATAGAGAGATTGAATTCTTCTGTGTCATTTTTTTATTGTAGTCTGCACCTGAAATGACGTCTTTTGGGGGGGTTATAATGAAGTTTTCAGCAAAATGAGCAGGCATCCAAGAGTCTGCTAAGCCTGCTATTAAACAAAGGTTGTGCGTATAAATCATATTTAAAAATTGAAATGTAAAGGGGTAGTTCACCCAAAAATGAAAATTTACTCTCTCTTGAGAAGTTGCAAACCTTTATGAGTTTCTTTCCTTTGTTGAACAAAGGAAGAAATTTTGAAGAAAGCTGAACCCCTTAAACATTGACATTCATAGAAGGAAAAACAACAACTATGGAAGTCGATGGTTACAGGTTTTAAGCGTTCTTCATAATATATGTTTTTTTGTGTTTAACAGGGTTATGATCGCCAGCAATCAAGCACATGCAGATCACTAGAAAACTACAATTTGGCCAATGAACCGAACTACAACCCCAATCATGCACCTCACACAGTTCCTGATTTCTCCTGATAACACACACTTACAGACACACCCAAGAAAACAATTTTGTCTAACAGACATCTAAACGTAGAAAGCTTGGCTAAAACAAGGCTAAACTTGGGCTGTTAGTGAAAATCTAACAGACATCAAAACTACACTAGTCGTCAAATAGACGGATTAGACAGACTTTAAATGTGTAGTCAATCATTTCTGTTTATTTGATGACTGGTCTAGTTTTGGCCTTGTCTTAGACGATATTAAAATCTTTTAAAAACAAAAAATGCTTGCTGAGACAGCAGAAGCCAGGGTTTCTGCAAGTTTCTTCAAGTCAGATTTAAGACTTTATAAGACCCTTTTAAGACTATAATGAATGAGATTTTAGACTTATACAGGGCTAAACACTAAGGATGTTTTGTAATTGCCTGGTCGGATCAATGCAACAAGAAAATACCAAATGTAGTCATTTATTAACCACATATTTTAATGTGTCAAAATAAAAAATCTGTAGTTAAATACACTTTTCAACATAATGTTGTTTTTTAATGACAAGTTTAGCATTGTTAAAAGTAATTATGAAGAAAGCTATACAAATAATTAGAAATATATATATTTGTTTGCTTTTGGTCCAAATGAACTGAGTTTAACTCCTATACAACCTAACGCGTTTCTTTAATGAAACCTTAAGTTTCATGCCTATTTCCAATTATTATGTCTACACTTTCTTCTGTAAATAGTTTGTGTGTAAAGGGCAGATTATGCAAAGGGATATATTGCTGTTATTATAATGAGGAATTGTGTATCATGAGGAAGTGTATTTTCTTCTCCTGATTAGGGAATTTAATTTATAAATTTGCTGTTATGAAATTAAAATCTCTATGCAATAAAAAACCTTAACTATATATATATATATATAAAGGTGATTGGATGGGTGTCGGCCCGATTGGGTAACATTACTTCAACAACTTTTAAAATAAGACTTTTTAAAATGATTTAGGACCTCTTACAACATATTATTTCAGTGAATTTAAGACTTTTTAAGGCGTAAAATAGTTTTTGAAATGTAAGACATTTAGCACCCCGCGGACAGCCTGTGAAGCTTATCATTCAATTATTACCTGGACTTTATATACAGCTCTCATTCTCACACTCATTGCTGAGTCTTGTTGTTGTTTACATGTAACATTACAAAGCGTTCTCCTTTTTTAGTTTTTCTGTGTTTAACCCTTGCCTTGTTTCCTTGCTTACGTTGTTTGCCTGTGACCTCGACTATGTTTCTTGATTATCCTTATGCTCCTGTTTGTACCTGTAACCATTGTCTGCTCCCGTTGTCAATAGCATCCTTTACATTACACACAGAAGAAACTAATAAAGGTTTAAAACAAGTGAAAAGAAAAAAAAAAAACTATTCTCCGGTGAAATGTCCCTTTAAATGTCTCAGTTCAACATAAGCAATTTTTACTTTTAAAAAATAGAATATAAAATAAAACATGTAATATTGGTTTGCATGAATATACCAGTGGTGGTGTATGTCATTGAGTACTAAGTATTTTATATTAATATTTTGAATGATTTTTGATATTTTTGTTTTTTAGTTACAGTTTTAGTGTTGCTTAGTTTTGTAAATAAATAAACTAATTAATTAATTAATTCTTCAACTTTAAAAAGTTAGATTCCAAATAGTTAGTAAATCAACCTAATTTGATATATAGTTTATTTGGCAAAATAAACATCTTCCAAATATTCCACTTTAGAGAAATCACTGAAACACATATTCTCATTCTCAAACTAACATTCTCTAAACCTAGTAATGACCTCTAAATGTTACACTACACCTTCAAACCCCAACAACAAATTTAGCAAACACTTTGTCTGCTACATTGCGATAAACCATTCTCCTTGCAGACACATGGCCAGTCCAGTTCTGAGGCCTCTGCCATTTAGATTTCGCACTCTCTTTCTCTCTCTCTCTTTTTCTGACTGCTAAGCCTGAGCATTGATCGGTGACATTTCAGCACATTAGACTGATCCAGCCTCACCATCACTGCAGTCTCAATGGGCTCTGAGAAAGCATTGGCATGACGGGACTGCCAGAGGCAATGGAGGATTCTAGGTACTGAGGGACTCCGACACTGAGCTCGATTAGCTAAACTGATGGCTGCTGCTGTGAAAAACACATCCCTAGCAGGCTTTTGGACTCACCTGAGGAAGAAGGAGGCTGCTGAGCTAGTTTGGGCTGCGGGTGGGACAGCCGGCTGGTCATAATGTGCTGTTTTTTGGCTTGACGGAGAAACCAGAGGTACAGCGGTGGTCTGAATGGACCTAGTGGATACAGGTGTCAAACTATCCTTGTCTCCGGTAGGACTCTGTAGAGAAATAAAATAATGTTAGAATGATAAAACAAGCTTTAACACAAACTATTAAACACAAAAGAATATATATCGTAAAATGATGGAAATCAGTGCCCACTAAGGTCCACAGTAGCAAAACCAATGGAAAAACTGAAATGGAACAAGTCAAGGGTGACAAAGGGTGATGAATTTTTTTGGGTGAACTATCCTATTTTTTAAAAGGCTAATTAACAGTAAATTAACATTGTGTGAGGTGAGTTATGTGATGTATATAGGAACTCAACAATAGAAATTAGAACAGAAGATCTTTGACCGAACCCTAGGGAACCCAATGGGACCTGACGAATTCTGGTTTAATTTCAATAATTTTAGACAAGGTAGGGCCATCTGCAAAAATCCATCCCTGCAAAGGTGAAACAAATGATGATGGAAAAGTCAAAAAGAGCAAATTTTGTGGAGAGGGAAAATGTACAGCAAGCTGACAGGGTAAATGAGAGGTCACTCGCTACATTAAAAACGTCATGGAAAATGAAATGGATGTTCTCATCTGGTGGAAGATGAACAAACAATCCTACCCAAAACTTGCATGCATAATGTAGACAGTATATAGGCTAATGTTGGCATTATTCTTTCAATATTCAGCGTCACCGTTGCCTTAAGGCCGGATTGTGAAGAAAAATTGTGAGACAAATCCCACAGAGCCTTTATCTTAATTTCATTATTGCCAAATATTCGTCATTATTTAGAATTTATTTTAATTTAATTTGTTAGGAAAGACTTATAAACGCTGTCAAAGACTTAGGAAAGCTGTCAATCAAAATGTACTTGTCAGGCTCAGGCCGAATTCTGTCGGGCTCCGGCCCTATTGGCCTAACTTTTATGGCCCGAATACAGTTCTAATAGAAACTAGCCACCAGGTCCAGTTCCCTGACAACTAATTCCTCTAAACAATCTACCTGGTTTTAATTGCTAACTATATACTCTACTGTATGTGTTTTTATCTCAATGTGTCTTTTGTTTTGGTTGTCAGTGTTTTGTATGGCATGTGCTGTTGTAACGGTATGTCCATTTGTGTTGAATTATACTTGCTCTGACATTGTTGCTAATTTGGTTAACCCTGAATGGCTCATATAATGTGAACATCAATGGTTCTAGAAACTATGAAAATGTTCATCCAGTGTAAAAGTCTCTTTTCACTGCCATTACAAATCTGGAAAGAGACAGGTCTTCATTATGTTCTTCTGAAAAAAAGAAAGGCATATACATCCAGAATCAATCATGTTTTAATTAATGGGTGAATTATTCCTTTAAGCATAATTGCTCTGGTCAATCATTTTAATCCTCCGAAGCTTCTTCCATTTCCAATATTGTGGTGTACATTCTTAAATACCAATCGTTTAACAAACATTTGTTCCAATTTGATCAAATAAATTATTTAGAAATTTTTTATTTGCAAAAAATTATTTGTAGATGTTTTAAATACATCCTAAATAGTTCCAAAATCAAGCAAACATTCATTCATTCATTCATTCATTCATTCATTTACTTTTCGGCTTAATCCCTTAATCAGGGATCGCCACAGTGGATGTGCTTTCAGCTGCAACCTATCACTGGGAAACACCCATACTCTCTCATTTACACTCATACACGGACAACTTAGCTTACCCAATTTACCTATAGCACATGCATTTGGACTTGTAGAAACCGGAGCTCCCGAAGCAAACCCATGCGAACACGGAGAGAACATGCAAACTCCACACAGAAATGCCAACTGGCCTAGCAGGGGCTCAAACCAGCGACCTTCTTACTGTGAGGTGACAGTGCTACTCACTGCGCCACTTGATTGTATTGTGATACATGCTATTACTCCAAAAGTGTGATGAAACTGTATTTTCAATACAAAAAAATACACAAAAAAGACTTATAATCCTATCAGCACTCTGTTGATTAAGTGTGGCATTACTCTAGTATATACAGGATAAAGAATGCCGCCGTGACATGATTGTGTCTGGAGGAGAGCAGTTTGCAGAAGAGTGTGTCGTATTTGGCTAAAAGGATTACAAACACATTCCATAATATCAACAGCACAGCCTGCTGTAAAATAATGAAATCCTTTGGGATACTTTGCAAACACGGGTGTCAAATAGACAAAGTCTACTCGAGCAGAAGTGATGCAAAAGCAGCCAAGCAGCCCGTAGACCAAACAAGAGGCCATTGCTCTAATAAATATAGTGAAGTCATTTTGTCTGTATAACTGTTATATAGTAAAACCTATCATCCTCACTCTATGGGTATCTGTTTTTTATATGAATGCAATGGTTAATCAGAGGGAAACCAATTTTCCAATGCTGAAAAAAAACCTCTAAGCCAGTCTAAGCAACACTAATACTAGGAACTGTCTTGAGAAGTTTGATAAGTAGATTCAGATCAGATGCACCTGCTGTCTCTTGTGTAGGACCAGAGATTAAGGCTGTTTCTCAATATGCATTCTTCAGCGATCTTGCATCCTTGTGTTCTAGTGTAACATCACCATCAACCATCAAAGTTCAGTTCTAAAACTCAAGACAGCAAGAACTAAGGACATGTGAAAGTTCCCGGATGTGTTTTTGATATCAAGGATGCCTGGATGGCATACAGACTTGAGTGCAAAACTTGCTCGAGAAGTCCTTGAAGTCATTGCGGCTGAATAAAAGAGGTGGGAAGCACAGCATTTTATATAGATTTATTACAAAAGTTCTGAGATATAACTTATTTATCTTAGGAGTTTTCCTAAATGAGATGGTGAAAGTAAGCATTAACATGAAAATCATAATAAAGGCATAAAGGCATGGGTGTTTATTTGCTGAAATTCCTATTAAAATAAGTTTTATTTATATTCTGCAACATATATTTGTAAGGTTTTTTGCATGTTATTTATTTATTGTGAAAAGGGTAAAAACAATACATAATTGTATGAATGCTGTAATGTTTAAATAAATTTGCGGTCAGGAAGAAACGCAGCATCTCATTTCTCACAGGAAGCGTTTTGTGTTCTCGCAGTTTTTTAAGTTTTTTCGAGGTAGCCTAGCAAGACTACTCTCTACGAGAACGCAAGTCCATTCTCTGCATTCTTGGAATTGAGAAACAGCCTGAGTTTCCCATTCACGCATTGAAAAATTTATCTTTTTTTAATGGTACAGGGACCAAATAGAAATTTCCAAACTCTGTCATTTTTAAGGTAACTTCATTCATCAATAACTTTTAAAGCCTTTAAACGTTATGTTACTACAAAAATAAAAAATCTGAAGTATACTATTAAAGGGTGCCATATATTAAAAAACTCGATATAACTAGGCATGGCTGAATAATAAATTAATTAATGAGTCAAGTACATTGAACTCACATATGAGCCTCAAACACCATTGTTTAATTATTCTCATGCAAATCCTGTATAAAATCCTAGGCCAGTTGGAAATCAAACACTAACTCAACAATGCCAGGGAATTTTTAAACCAATTATAAAAATTTTAAAGACAGTCTTATATAAATAAATATATAAATAAAATGTGATGCACGGGACTGCAGTCTTTCAAAGTTTATGAAGTAATGTATAAAACTGTTGTCAAAAAAACTGCAGAAATAGTTTTCTGCAATACATAAAAACTCTGTGTTAAACAACCACAAAATGTAGTCTCAAAACTCATTAATTTTCCTTCGGCTTAGTGCCTTATTTATCAGGGGAAGCCACAGCGAAATGAACTGCCAACTATTCCAGCATTTGTTTTACTCAGCGGATGCCCTTCTGGTCGCAATCTATTGCTGAGAATCACCCATACACTCTCGCACTCATACATTACGGCCAATTTAGTTTAGCCAATTCTCCTATAGCGCATGTCTTTGGACTGTGGGGGAAACCTGAGTACCCGGAGGAAACATATGCAAACAGAAATACCAACTTGTTCAGCTGGGACTGGAACCAGCAACTTTCTTGCTGTAAGGTGACAGTCTAACCACTGAGCCACAGTGCCACCTAAAAACTTTTTAAAAGCAATAATAATAATATAGAATTCAATCAAATATCATAATAAAATTATTTCGAGTTCAACATTATTACAAAAAAAGATTAATTACGAACAAAAATATGCTAGTTAAAGCTAAATTCCAAGACTTGCTAAATTAAAGCCAGTACAACAAAAACATCTCACACATTCATAATGAACCCACATGCTTCTAAATACTTATTCATGTGTTATTTCACAGGCACCAAGTAAACCATGACTGTTCCTGGTGTCCCCTCAAGCCAAAAATAGATGCATGATGATGCCACTATATACCTTGCGCTGGTGTGGCAACAAGCTCAACAATCTCAAAATAACTTAATCTCCACATCCATTCATGATGCACAATTTAATTAGGCTTTTCCTCCTAAATGCAGAGAGAACAAGCAGTACATGACAGCACACACATGTACTTACACACATACATTGATAAAGGGTGGAAGAATAGAGGAAATGGGAAGGCATGAGTAGGTACAACAGAATCTGGGAAAACTGGAGTAACTGTGATCTGCTGACAGCTTGATGTAGAGATAACGAGCACGGAAAAAAAAATCTCTGGGTCTTCAGTTCCTCTGAGACCCATCTCAAACACCCACCAAGGCTGTGTGCTAATCTGCCTTCCTTCACTCCAGCCGTAATTACAGACTCACGTCAGAATCCACAATTAGAGCCCAGGAGGAGGACGCCGGAAGAGGGATGCTTCCAGATCCGAACGGACAGGCAATGCTTATTTAAACTAATTATACTGCATAAAAAATAGGTGTTTGTGTAAATTAAGAATAAAAAATGAAGTTTGCGTGGAGTCGGAGTGATATTCATTTACATAATTACACTACCGTTCAAAAGTTGGAGACGTTATGATTTTTATGGAGTTTGTAATTTGCAGTATGAAGGAATTTTATCTGTTCTGCAAGAACACAGATGCATAATTCAGTACTGATAGCAACAATGAATGTTTCTTGAGAAGTAAATCAGCAT